TGCCATAGTTACCGGAATAGTTGTTTGTACCATGGTTGCTATATGGTTACCTGTGCCATAGTTACGTGGTCGTTTGTACCAAAAAAATGACCGTTTGTGCCATAGTTACATGCTCATTTGTACCATAGTTACCTAGTTAATTTTAGTAAAAAAATGGCTGTTTGTGCCAAGAAAATGGTCGCTTGTGCCAAAAAAATGGTCACATGTGCCAAAATAATGGCCATTTTGACCGCGTTACCGACAGACAGACGGACAGACAGACAGACGGACAGACACACAGACACAGGTGAATTTAGGTTTCTAGACCCTAGCCTTTCAGTCTAGTAGCAACCATGGTACAAACAACTATTCCGGTAACTATGGCACAAATGACCATCTAAAGACTGATGTAAATGAACCCATAATAATCAAGGGTGAAATGTCAATGGAATAACTATAATTCGGGTAGTGGTGTGAAACGGCTTACAAAAGCATTTAATTAGTGAGAGTCAGACCAAATGAGCAGCATGGATTTAAAGAAATCGTTTAAATTATTCATTATTGTAGGATTGATTGTGCAATGTTGTATCAATGAATATCTAATTTATTAATAGTTTAGAATTAATGCGCGAATTTAAGCATAAAATATTGATTAATAAAACTCAAATTTTATGAATAATAAAATTCATATTTTTGTACGTACAAATAGCGCCAATATAATTATAAAAAAATAGTATTGTTGTCTAATCTTATTGGGCGCTATTTGTATTTATAAAAGTAAAAAAAATAAAACGAAAACGATAAAAAAAATTAAACTTGTAAATGCATCATCTTTACTTAGAGTGAGAATTCTCCAAATTAAGTTTTCTGGTGGCCTAAGATATACTGGTAATATTATCAATGCTGCGTATTACTTTTTTAATGTAGTTTTTTATGTTATTACATCCGTACATGTATTCTATCAGTCTAGGGCTAAGTGAATCGCTTGACGATGAACGTTACTTGTTGGATATACTATCTGAAAGTACGTAACAACGCTTGTTGCCTACCTGGGGTCCGCCCGGACCCCACGTGATGATACATAATTTTCACTTAGTCTTGGACTATATCTTTTTCATTTTTTCTCCTATGTCTATGTTATGCGTTCTTTAGGAATATTCTAGAACTTTCTAGCGAATTATAGAAAGAGTAGATGATTTTAGAATGTTATATCTTGTACATTAGGACATTTTTCTAACTTTCTGGTACTTTCTGGAACGTCATGCTTCTCATATAAATATTTGAGCATCTTCATCGAGAATACATTCTTATCGTGCATTTCATACTACTATTTTCGAACGCTATATGCCCTCAAACAAACGAATTGATCCTAATCAACCAAAACATTGGCATGAATGTGCTGAATACTTCGACAATGAATCTGACGATGAAGATAATGACGTGAATAATGACTCCGAAGATCCTGAAATGCTTCATGTACATCAAGAGAGTTCCGACGAATCAGAAAATCCTGTCATGGTTGAAAAAGATTCGGGTGACGAATCTGATACAAATTACGTCAAAAGTGAAAGCGCTAGTGACGAGGAAACACCTAGACGTCGAGCCAAGCGTGAACAACAGCTGAAGCAATCAGAAATCAAAATATTTACTGCACGATCGGGACGACAATGGACTACAGAAGAGCCTCCAAAACGAAAAATATTACAAGCTAATGTCTGGAGGCAACAAAATGGCATTGGACGAGCAGCAACAGGCATACAAACTATCAGAGAAGCATTTCAACTTCTTATGACTCAAGATATGGTTCTTCTGATAGTAAGAGAAACCAATCGACGTGCTCATTGGATTACAGAGCAGTGGAATAATCAAAATCCTGGTAAATAAAATCAATGGAAAGAAACGGATTCTGATCAAATATGGGCTTTTATTGGGCTGCTGATCCTTGCAGGTGTTCATCGAGCTAAGAATGAAACTCTCGACGAACTTTGGTCAATGATCGATGGACGTCCAATTTTTCGAGCAACCATGGCAAAGAATCGCTTCAAAAGCTTGCTTCGGTTTTGTCGTTTTGATAATATAGCAACTCGTGATGAACGACTAAAACAAGACAAATTAGCTCCAGTAAGAGACTTATGGGTGATGTTCTTAGCTCAACTACGAGCATGCTATACTCCTGGTGGATCCCTTACTGTGGATGAGCAACTTATTCCAACTCGTGGTCGTTGCAACTTTCGTCAATACATTCCAAGTAAACCTGGAAAGTATGGTCTGAAGATATTTTGGTGCTGTGATTCAGATACAGTCTATCCTTTGAATGGTGAAGTTTATCTCGGACGTCAGTCTCAAGCAACTGGTGTAGGTAGGAATACAAGTCCTATTTGCAATCTGGTGAAAGGACTAGTGCAACCTTGGATCAACAACGGACGAACCATTACCACAGATAATTATTTCACTAGTGCAGAGCTGGCAGAAGATCTTTTAGGAGTTCAAACATCTCTTGTCGGAACTATTCGGCGTAATAAAAAAGAAATTTCACAAGAACTGTAATCTGATCCTTATCGTCCAGAACAATGATCGATTTTCTGTTTTGATCGTCAAATAACATTAGTTAGTTATGTACCAAAAAAACGACATGCAATGATTTTATTGTCGACTCTTCACCATGACAAAGCCATCGACAACGAAAAAAAGAACAAACCGGAAATCATACTTTATTACAACGAAACAAAAGGTGATGTTGATCGAATGGATCAGATGGTTCAAACATATTCTTGCAAACAAAAAACAAAACGTTGGCCGATGACTTTCTTCTTCAATATGATTGATGTTGGTGCTGTTGCTGCATTTATAGTGTGGACAATAAGAAATCCACAATGAAACGAAAAGAAACATCATCGTCGACGCTTATTTTTCTTGCAATTAAGTTCTGAGCTCATAGAAGCTCATGTGGATCGACGACAGCAACAACCACAATCGATGCAAAGGGGTGTTAAACTGGCTCTTCAAGCAATCGGTCAAACTACTACATTATCACAACCTCCGATGGCCTCAACAATTGCTGTTAAACGACTGTGTCAACTCTGTCCAAGAGAGCGTGATCGAAAGGTCATCACTCATTGTGCAAGGTGTAATACTCCCTGTTGTCCGGACTATCATCAAGTCATTTGTATAACATGCAGTAACATATTTTTAAAATAAAAGCTAATTGTAAGAGAATTGTTAAAAAACATAAACGATCACATAGCGAAGCAACAAATACTTTTTTACTAGTTATGCATACTATAAGAGGCTAATCATTAGGCTAACCAATAGTAATACAATATATTACTTAGAAATATATTCTACCTATTTTATCGACTTGGGGTCCGTATGGACCCCAGGTGGACAACAAGTGATAGTTTTATAGGTGGGCGGATTAGGTTAAATATTTTCGCGACTTTTTTTTTCGTCGAAAAATTCACTCCTGCCTCTCCCAGAGCTTTGCAAAGCATGAGTTTCTACAAAAAGACATTTTAACACTAGGAGTCAAGCTCTAAGGTTGGAAAATCATAGTAAAACTCAAAATGGAGGATTAATAAACAATAAAATCAGCGTTTTGAAGAAACTCATGTTTTGCAAAGCTCTGGAGGAGGCAGCGGTGAATTTTTCGACGAAAAAAAAAGGTCGCGAAAATATTTAATATCTACATAAATCCACTTAGCTTTGGATGCTGATTCGGAATATCATGTTAGTTGCCATTTGGAACAAAAAATAAAAGAGTTATCGAGAAATCACCTGTCCAATTCCAGGTCAAAGTACCCAAATTACAGTAAAAGTCGAATATCTCAAGAACAAAAAGAATTTCGAAAAACCGAGAATGTACTGTTGTTCTTCATTGAATGCTGATTTTAATCATGTGTGAAATGTTATGACTTATATTTAATTGAGCAATAAAGTAATTGAAATGAGAAATAATGAAATTTAGCAATAAAAAATATTAAATGAGCAGTAATGAAATTTTCCAATAATTATATGAAATGAGCAATAATTATATAGAATGAGCAATAGTTATATTGAATGAGCAATAATTATACTGAAAGAGGAATAATTTATTTAAATTAAAGGTAAATTTTATATAAAGTAGACTTTATATAAAAAGGGTATTATAGTGTGACTCGCTTATATATCTTTTTTTTCCTTTCTTCTCTTCTACGATGTCGTACAAATAACAAGTAGGACACATACATGTCGGAGTTGACTTTAAACTATTTCAAAATCAACTAATTGCCTTTTAAATTCAATTAATTGCATTTAAAATTTTTTTTTGAAGTCGACTAATTAATTTTAAAATATTTTAAAGTCAACTAGTCGCCTTTAAAAGGGGACCGAATTTTAAAATCAATTCCGATATATACATATATCTTTTGTTTTCTTTCTCTCTTCTTTCCTTTCCCTCACTTGAGTATTTCTCTTCTCTTGATGTTGTTCAGGTATATTCCCTTCTTCGTCATGTTTTCTTTCTAGGGTGTTTGGTTTTTTCCTAGCTCATTCATATATACATATATAGTTACCATTTCTGCAATAAAGTAGTAGTTCAGTATTGATCTGTTAGATCAATCACCCGTTAACAAATGGCAATATGAATTCATTTATATATACAAATACGTATTTTTTTAATTTTACAAAATAACATATAACAAGAAAAAGAGGCAGACCATCTAAAGCAAAAAAGCTTTATTCACACAATAATATACTGTTTTTTCATTTTTTTTTTCAATTGTAAATAACTTTTTTATTTTTCTAATTCATATAAAATAATGTAGTTTTTCTTTGTTTTATTGCTAAAATATGAAATTACTACTGCTACTTAATGAATTAATTATTGTACATTTAAGAATATAAAATTACTGAAATTAAGTTTTTTTATTGCTTAAAAATTAATGCTAAATAGTATTTTAATTATTGCCCATTCCAGTATTTTTATTGCTCAAATAAATACTAGCCAAATATTATTATATCTCATAAGCAAAAAAAACTAGATAGGTTTACAAAATCGCGTTGGAGGAGTTGCAGACTCTTCGATCCCTTCTGATGCCCTACTTTTTTTTTGTACTATAACGAGGTCATGACAAATCTCAAATTGGTACCAATTTCTACTAAATGTCTGATCGCTGATATCTGATTTTTAAGAAGTAAATCAGATATTTACTCTGATATACGACTCATAAATATCATCAAAAATAGATATCAGACGTTTACTTTCAATAATAAATTTGAAACTTATTGCTCAAATATAACATATGAAACATCATATAGTACCTACAATTTTAAAAAATTTATCAGAAAGCAGATATCACATATTTGGTTTCAATATTAGGGGTGTGGGAGTGGGTGTGAGTTTTGTCTTTATCCACGCCCCACCCACCCACACCCACACCCACGCCGTCATATGTTATATTTGAGGAATAATTTTTAAATTTAATATTGAAAGTAAATATATTTCGAGTTAGTAAAATTCTGAAAATTTTGAAGATTTTGAAATTTTAAAAATTTTGGCATTTAAATTTTGAAAATTAGTAACAATTTGATATTTGTCACTCCTTGAAACAAAATCGTGTAGGAAGTTTGAATTTGGAGATCCTTAGCAATACAGAATCTGGTTAATATGAAATAGATCACGATTTCTGACGCTTGTATGCTGTAGGAAAAATATCAGACTTGAGAAACTACATCTGGCTAGCACCCTATGCAAGTACTGGTAGTCAAAAGGTAGGGCATTCTTTTTTCCTTGTCTATCTATCTGTTTGTTCAAATCAATGAAAAAGAACTAATTCACGATCGATCAAATATAAAGTATCCTTTTGGAAAAGAGTATTAGATGTTAGAAGGCGTTGCAAACTGGAAATTACTAGTGTTTTTAATGAAATTTTGTTGTACGATCAGTTAGGGTGAGGGTGTGATCAGACTGTAAAAACTTCTTTTTTTTATCAATGAATCTTTCAGATATCATCGCACTTTCAAACTGAAAATTATACTATAAGTGAGAGTTTTTTAGATTAAAATAGCCTAGAATGGTTAGTGCGATTGCGGAGCTACGTAGAGTTTCTATGCTTCTTTCGCAATAGGTAAAAATTTTTTTTGCTCAATTGTAAAAGCTAGAAGGCTGGAAATGTTTCCTCGGTTATCTCTTAGGTGTTTTAGTAAAGCAAATGTCTTTCTCTGTCTGCCCCTTCTTTCTTTGTATACAATCAGCAATCCAATTCGAAGTCCATATGAATTTCGATTAGAGCCCGGCGTAATTTGTTTCTTTTTCTGATCACAATCACGAAGACTTGGGTAACGGTCAGTGGTTGATTCGGTGAAACGCGATAGGTTCTAGTATCACAGAAGTAAGAGTACCGAATGTTTTCTCTAATTGTTGTCTCTTGATTTTCGATGATGACAGTAAAAGTGTATGTTTCAGAATTTAAATCAGTCCTGTGTATCAACACAAAACTGTATGGTTGGTCAAATTGGTTTCGGCTACTATTTATTTGAGCAATAAGAAAACTATCTTTGAACAATTTTATAATAATAAATGTGCAATAATTAATTCATTAAATAGAAGTAGTAATTTCATATTTTAACAACAAGAAAAAGGAAAAGTAAGATATTTTTATTTACAACTGACAATAAAAAAAGAAAAATGAAAAATTAATATATTATTGTGTCAATAAAGCTTTTTTTGCTTCAGCTAATCTCCCTCCTTGTCTTTCAGTATCAATATCCACACCTTTTGTCTCTGGTGGGGTTTGCACCCTTACCCTCTTATCAAGAGACTAATTCCATATCATTGTCACTTTCACTGTCAGAAATATACTGTGCCACGTGTTGTGATTGAGCCATTTATATAAATTATATATTTTATTCTATAAGATTGAAAAAATGCGTATTTGTTTAAATGAATTCTTAACATAAGAGCTTTCCCATCCACTGTATTAGAATAGTCCTATTAATCATCTTGAAAATTTCCTTATATTATCTTATACTATATATGGGATTTTTCCAACACTTTTGATATTTATGTAATACATATCAATGTTCTCTTCTATGGGAGATCAGATATTAAATTCGATTATCTTCTCAACCTCATTGTTTTTTCTACGGTTTTTCCTCATATACCACATTTCAAGTGTGTACGAAATAAATCGAACTCACGTAAACACATAACAGTAAAAACCATATAATTTACATAAATGAATTCGTATTGCCCTTTTTATGTGAAATTTATCTTTAGTTTAGATAAACTATTGCTCCTTCAGTATAGTTATTGTTGATTCAATCTATTTATTACTCATTCACTATAATTATTGCTGATTCAATATAATTATTGCTGAGTCTAATTATTGCTCAATTAAATATAAGTCATTGTTTTCTACTAAGAAGTATGTTCACGATAAGATCGGAAGAAAAGTTCCAGGCTGTGTAACAGTCAAGGTGATTTTTATTGTGGAATGGGTATGAGTAGAGGTGTAAGCCGACGGGTCGAGCGGCGGCGGCTGGAGTTTTTAAAATTTTTTTTTAAATGCTCGGCGGCGCAGATTTGAATTTCTGAGGTTGCACGGCGGCGGCGGCTTGAAAATTTTTTTTTTTACCACCGACGGCGGCGGCGGCTTAAGGGCCTTGGTCGCTCGGCGGCGGCGGCTTGAGATTTAGAAAAGATATTATAGTATCACGAAAAAAAAAATTCATCTATTTCAGTATCCAATCGTTTTATTTTCAAATAAATATTTGGAAAAACTTTATTTTACATCTAGATATAATAAATAAAGTACATAATATTGAGACGTTCAATACATGAAATATAGAAAATCAAAAAGTACATGACTAGAAAAAATATACAAAAAAAAAAAAACAAAATCCTAAGTTGGTTTAAATAAATTATAATTGTCATGGATCACTTGTATTTTACCAACATTTTCTGGCGACAACATTGTCCTTTTAGCATTGAGAATTAAACCCGTTGTTGAAAAAACTTGTTCACTTGGTGTAGATGTAGCTGGAATTGCAAGAACAATTTGAGCAAGAACTTTTAAATGAGGAAAATTATCTTCTGATGATCGCCAGAATTTGAGTACGTCATCACAATTAACATCAAGTTTTAAATATTTCTCTATTTCATCTGCAATAGGATCAACAACGAGTACTGAATTTGGTGTGTGTTTTTGGATTAGATTTTCACGAAGTCTTTTCAAATTTTGAGCTGGTTCGCTCAAATTCTCGACTGATAAGCATCGTTTCATAGTAGAAGATGATGTTGTTGTAGGTGCAATTGAATGTGAAGATGATGCACTTGTTGAAATATTTTCTGTTGTTGTAGATGCTTGTGGAAGAGGATGAATTTTAAATTTTTTAATCATTTCGAATAATATTTTTTCTTTTGTTGTTCGATTTTGATTTAAATAGCGGCTAATATCAATTTTAAGTTGTGATGGATCAAGCAGAAAACCACAAATATTTAATGGAAGTACCGGGTACCTCTTATTCATATTTTCAAAAAGCAAAATTTTTAATTCTCGAACAACTGGTGATTCTATATCAGTAATATTCAATATAGATTCTATTTCCTAAAATAAACATTAATTAATTTACAGTATCTTTTCAACTACAAGCATCAATATAGTTTTATACTGTAAAATACAGCATTATCTCAATAAAGTTTCAAAACAGATTTCGTGTATATTAATATAGTAATTCAGGAAGAGTGCTTTTTTTTCATTCAGAATAATTAATCGTTCAATTTTTAGAACTTACTATTCGTAATAATAAGTACAAATTCATTGTTGTATAAGATTTTGATGCCGATAATATTGTTGTTGTCGATTCAAGTAAACTAAGAAATTCAACTAAGTCACGTATAATTTGATTTTCTGCAGCCGATAATATCAAATCAAAATATTTTAATCGATGCAATATAATTTCAATACCGGATACATTGTCAATATACGAACGAAGCATAATTAAAATCGTATTCCAACGAGTTAGAACACGTTTTTTTAGAGTATGAAATCGTTCTGAATTTTTGTTGTTAATTAAAAGTAAATTATTCGATATTGTTGAAGATTGTATTTGTTTTGAATTAAATTGTAAGTCATTAGATAAGAACGATTCCTCAACATTATTAATTATAACATCGTCGTTCAATGTTTGTATATTTTCAACATCAATATTGGACAAAGCAATATCAGCATCTAATATTTCACCAGCTTTATTTAATGATATAAATAAGTTCTGGTTTATCATTTCATTATATCGAAAAAATTCATTTTCAAGTTCATGCTGACGATAACGAAGTTTATTAATTATCATTTGAACTTTATCTAATAAATCTGGTACTAAATTCATATGAGGAAAACAATCTTTCATTAACCAATTGTGGATACCATGTCCAATACAAAATGTATGTATCACATTTAATAATTTCCATGCTTTACACATGTTTGGACCTTGATCCGAAACCTACACAAAGAAAGACAAAAACAGCATGAATGATACATGAAAATTTCTCTCACCACAATTATATTATTGGAATTTATATTAAATTCATGTAAAACAAGTAAAACAAGATCCTTTATAGCTTCACCTGTATGGGATTCATCGAATGGTAGTGTTGTTAAACTATAGTGGTGGTATTGTATATTTGAATCAAGAAAATGTATTGTAAAACAAATGTATGAACGATGTTTATATTTATCGGACCATATGTCACACGTTATTGTAGGAAATTTTATTGATGATTTTAATACTTCTTTAATTTTTTGATAACACACATCGTAAATTTTATTCAGATTTATAGGTGATAATATGGTACGTGAAGGAATTTCCGACTTTGAAGAAACAATTTTGTTAGAAACCAGAAAATCTTGAAAACCTAGGCATAGAAATGCTAAATGAATGCATATATAAAGTTCTTGAAAATACTTACCTTCATTTTCAACTATAGAGAATGGTAAAAGATCTCTACAGCACATTAATGTTAATTGATGTCCTAGCTGTTGCTTTAGTTGTGAAGGTTTTGTTGAATGGTGATTACGAGAAAACATAGAAAGAATATGTTGATTTGTTACTTTTGTTTGTTGTGATTCTTTTACTTGGTGAACTGATAATAAATGATTTTTCATATTTCCAGTACCACTTATATTACTATAAATACCAATAAGATTTTTAATTGAAAAAAAATTAACATCAGGTTGATCATCTTTTAACTTGTCAAAACAAATCTTGCAATAAACATGTTCTTTATCGACTGGCTCATTCGGTGTTTTGTATAAGTAACCGAAATAATTCCACACGAACGATGGTTTTGGTATATTAGGTGGGTTGATCTTGATAAATAAATTTTTGTTTGCAAAATAAATATTTGTCATTTCGACTGCAACACGAACCTAAAAATGAAGAAAAAAAACAAAATTATTTCTTTATCAATAAAAAGCACTTACAAATTTTTTAATATTAAAAAAACATCACCAAAACGAATGATAGATAAAAATTACCAAAACCACCACTACATAATAATACCATCAAACTTTGAGTACGAAATATGAATAGTTTCTAATGAATTAAAAAAACGAAGATTATTAATAAGTAAAAAAATGATACAACCACTACGAATACAAGTATATGAAAAATAACTATAACCACCAAGAATATTAAATCACAACCGGCACTATCACCACGATTAATAATAAGCGAAAAACCACCACTATAATCAAGGATATGAATGGATGTACAATAAATATAACCACCAAGAATATTAACAAATCACAACCAACAATATCACCACGATTAATAATAAGCGAAAAACCACCACTATTACCAAGAATATTAATGGATGTACAATAAAAATAACCACCAAGAATACTAATTGATGAAAAAATAAATATAATCACCAGAATAAATAATGAATGAAAAACCACCACCACGATTCTACTAAAAAAATCACTTAATGTATACAACTTAGCTTTTTTTTTTGTTAATCGAAACATATAATACTAGTCTATTGTTATATATAATATGATAGACATAGACAATTGAAATGATTACTTAAAACTTTTAACCAATGCAAAATTAAGGAAAAAATAAATAAAAAATTATTGATGCTTATGATAGGTGTCAGGTGGCGGCGGCTCGAAAATTTGAAAATTTCGAATAGAACCGGCGGCTCGGCGGCTGGAACTCAAATGTTTCAGCGGCGGCGGCTTATAAGTTTTTAAAATTTCTACCGTCACGGCTGGCGGCGGCTTAAAATTTTCCCTCT